ACACTGATTTTCAGACTGCACCTTACTGTCAATACTCATCAGTTCAAATTCCTTCTCCAGTACTACAGTCACAACCTTCGCAGTCCCAGTACAGCCCATACAGCCTGGACTCTCAGTACACTGATGGGCAATACATCATCAGTAACTGCGAATTAAGCAAGCCTCCTTTCATGGCTTCCCACCCTGATGACAGTGGATTTCAAGCACTAAAAAGGCCCAGGTTAAATCACTCTTCTTTGAGATTGAAAGGACAGGAAGAGCTGTGCGTTGTCTGTGGTGATAAAGCATCTGGTTACCACTACAATGCACTTACTTGTGAGGGTTGTAAAGGTAAGAGGCACAGACTCATCTGTACCTTTCTGCACAGTGCTCAGAGCAGTACTGCATGTAAACAGACGCACTTCATTAACCTGATTTTTCTCTGGGGACTGTAATTAACCTAGGAACCCTTTGTCTCACACAATACCTTCAGATGCACGTTTTTAAAACATTTTTGAAGAAATGTCTTCTCTGTATATATCCAAGAGGAGCATTTAATAAAGCTGAATTTCCTGTTGAGTATTCACTGGAATAGTGCTTGTTTAAATGGGTGTTTATTGTCTTATGGTCATTTATTAGAGTTCTTTATTTATAAATCATTAATTATTGTTCTTAATAGCTTAGTATGCTATTAATTCAGTTATTAATATGGGAGCTATCTTGATCAGTTAAAGTAAACAGTAATTAATACTAGTCAGAAAGAACACATCATAATTAAGTCATCACAAAGAAAATTTGAAACCAAGGTAATACTTTCATTGTCAAGAAAATAACAAAACCTTGAATTATGAGGTAAATCTCCTTAAATTCTTTTACTCACAACCTGATGTTTTTCTGTAGGCTTCTTCAGACGCAGCATAACCAAAAACGCAGTGTATCGATGCAAGAACGGTGGTCACTGTGAAATGGACATGTACATGAGGAGGAAGTGCCAGGAATGTCGCCTGAAGAAGTGCAGAGCTGTGGGAATGCTAGCAGAATGTGAGTGCGCCCTCCTGATAAGTCCTTTTCTATGTCCAATCCCTTATCTCATTATAGCTAAGTGACAGAACACAAGACAATGGCCTCAGGTTGCATCAGGGAAGATTCAGATTGGAAGATGGGAGGAATTTATTCACTGAAAGGGTGGTTTGGCATTGTGCAGGCTGCCCAGGGAGGTGGTGGGGTCACCGTCCCTGAAGGCAGAGATGTGTGAATGTGGCACTCGGGGACACAGCTCAGCAGGACTTGTAATGTTAGGTGGATGGGTGGACTTGATGAACTTAAAGGTCTTTTCCAACCTAGATGATTCTGTGATTCCAAATGGTATTCATCTGAACTTAATTTCACTCTAGGAAAGTTTAAGTCTGTAGCACCTGCAGCATCTTCATGTGCAGAAACTACCAATGCTTGGGAAGTAGCTCCTGAAGAGGACTGTTGTTCAAAGACATTACAGAATAAAGCAGAGAGTACTAACGAGACAGCTAAATACCCTCAACTTTGATAGGACAGCTGTCAGCTATCCAAGCTTGTCAGATGTGCGCTCATGTTTGGAAAGAAAAATAAAGCATTAAAGAAATTGCACAAAACCTTTATGAAAAATTCTCATACTCGTATGTCCCAATCACAAACCAGATAACATGAGAAGGCTGCAAACACTCAGGCCTTTTGTGGATACAGAACACCAACTCGCTTAATCAACAGCACAGTCCCATGTTCTCTAGGAAGCATAGTTCCTTATAGCTCCTGAGATGCATAGACAGTAATGATTTCAAATTGTTATCTGTTGGAAAAAATTATGCATTAATCCATAATTTCATGCCTCACAGGTTTGCTGACTGAAGTACAGTGCAAGTCAAAGCGACTCAGAAAGAATTTCAAACAAAAGAGCAGTTTACTTTGCAACATAAAACTGGAAGATGAGGGACTGAATAGTAAGCATGTATCATCTACAACAAGATCTGGAAAAGTGAGACTTTTTTTCTATTTCAAATAACTTTTTTATCATTTAGTTTGCCTTAACTCATTACAGTTTGATTGGTTTATTTATTTATTTTATTAGACTGTGGAGAAGGTGGAACTCACTCCAGGGGAACATCAACTTCTTGACCACATCGTAGCAGCACACCAAAAATACACAATTCCCCTTGAGGAAGCAAGGAAGTTTGTACGTACGCAGAGCAATCAGCCTCTGTTTCTGAGTTGTTATTATTCCACGCAATGTATCTTGGCTGTATCAGATGTCTAAATGCTCTTTCATGCAGCTACAAGAAACCACAAGTCCTGAGGAAAGCTTTCTCCATCTCTCTGAGACAGCAGTTGTCCACGTACAAGTGTTAGTGGACTTCACAAAAAGACTCCCAGGTAAACTCCTTCCTTTGGGAAGTGTTATGGAGTAGTCTGACTTTTTGTTTTTAAGAAGCAGAAGCTGTATTCATGGCATCAGTGTGAGAAAAACACAGGCTTTAAGAAAACGTATTCAACTGACTACTTGATCTAACACTAGCAATTGGGATTACCATTTATTCAACAGATTAGAGCATTTTCTTCAAAAACTTACTGTGATTTTTGTTTTTTTCTCCAATTTCTGACATGGAATAGAGATGTTTTTCTGACAGTACTTTGACTTCAAAACACCACCTTGAGTGAATTTCCATTTTAACACATTGTCTGAAATCCAGTTCAGCTTGCAACTCATTGTAGGCAACAAAGATATACACTGGACACTGACAACAGCAATTTGTTTCTAGCTCGCAAACTAGCAAGAAGAAAAGCAAGAGCGTTAGATAGTGTTGTGTATGAATGTCTTTTAACAGTGGATCCTCCTTTTCAGTAAAGGTATTTATTAAAAGATCAGAGATAGAAATCAGTCCACTTTAGGTGCTTAAAGGCAGTCACAGCCTTGATTCTTAACAAGTCTCTCTCTTTGCAGGATTTGAAAGTTTAGCTAGTGAAGATCAAATTGCACTGCTAAAAGGGTCAACAGTTGAGGCCATGTTTTTGTGTTCCGCTCAGATATACAACCAAAGAATTAATGAATGCCAGTCATCAAGTGAAAGTAAGTTGGACTAACAGGCTTTCTGTAAACACCAGTAGTTCAGCCATTTTAATACAATCTCCAATTTAATGAATCTGAAGTAATTCACTATTCAAGCACAGCACTGCTTACAATAGCACCAGCAATATGTACAAGCCTCCAAAGAAGGGCAACAAGGCTGGGGAAGGGGTTGGAGAGTATGACCTATGAGGAGAGAATGAAGGAACTGGGCTGTTCAGTCTGGGGAAGAGGAGGGTGAGAGGAGACTTTATCGCTTTCTTCAAATACCTGAAAGCTGATTGTAGCAGCAGCTGACAGGATGAGGGAAATGGCCTCAGGTTGTGCCAGGGGAGGTTTAGGCTGGATATCAGGAAAAATTTTTTTACAGAAAGGGTTGTTAAGCACTGGAATGGGCTGCACAGGGAGGTGGTGGAGTCACCATCCCTGGATGTGTTTAAAAGCTGCCTGGATGTGGTGCTCAGGGATGTGATTTTTTCCAACCTGAGCAATTCAGTGATTCTATGATTCTATGTTTTATTTCACAATGGCGTAGCAGTGTCTGTTAGAGAAAGCTCATGGAAGGTTGTTAGAGTTAGAGTACTATGGTCAGGTTGTGGTTGGACTTGATGATCTTTACTGTCTTTTCTTGACGGTAAACTTGAACAATTCTGTCATTCTAAAGGCATTTTTCCATACAGTATTCAAAAAAATTAAAAATGTTGTTTTGCTTTACTCCTTTCCAAACAAAAAGCAACGCTTCTGTGAGCTTGCACAAATTATCAGGTGGATGTTAATACTAGCTACATTGCTGTTATGCTGTTTCAAGTTTGACATAAGATTTTTACCAACTGGAATGTAACCAATGAACCCAGTGTAGGATGCAGAAAAACAAAAAGAACAGCAACTCTTTTCCCTACCTGACAAAAATCTGCACACTTTAGAGATGTGTCCCAAAGCAGATCACACCCAATGTGCACAGCTGTTTTAAGCTCAGCTGCGAGCTGCCACCTCTCTTGTTCCAGGTCACATCAGACGCTCTGACCACACAACATGCTGCCACGTCCCAAACCTTGATAAGAACATGTATTCAATTCAAATGTCTCACAGTGAAGAGAGTCCGACTTCGACCACCACCACAGGTAAAATGGCCTCAGATTGCAATCCTCGGAGGTGTTTTGCACGGCTGACTCTATTCTCCATCACACGTGTCAGTGTGTCACATCCTCACGTGGCAGAAGCAACTCATGCAATACAGCCCTTTTTCATTACTACTTTAGTAATGAAAATTGTTTTTGTTACGTTTGTGAGCTCCTGTGCTCTTAAAGCCCAGCACTTTAAAACAAGAGGGCAAACCAACGGCAGCACCTGCCTCTAACACAATAACACTCTGATGATCCTCTTCCATTTTCAAGGGATAACCGAGGAGTTCATCACCGCGCTGTTTTACTTCTACAGAAGCATGGGGGAACTGAAAGTCACCGAGACCGAATACGCTCTGCTCGTAGCGACCACGGTGCTGTTCTCAGGTAGGCGCTTCCCGCGCTGCCCCGCACCCCTCAGGCGGCGGCGGGCGCGCAGTGACCGCGCTGTGCCTCGCGCCCCCGCAGACCGCCCGCTGCTGAGGAACAAGCGGCACGTAGAAGAGCTGCAGGAGCCGTTCCTGGGCATCCTCTACAAGTACTCGAAGATCCATCATCCCGAGGACCCGCAACATTTCGCCCGCCTCATCGGGAGGCTGACGCAGCTGCGCACCCTTAACCATACCCACGCCGAGGTGCTGGTGACGTGGCGGACGAAGGACCCGAGGCTGACCGCGCTGCTCTGCGAGGTCTGGGAGCTGCACTAGACGGCGCCCGCCGCCGCCGGGCTCCTCTCAGCGGTGCGATCCCCCTCCGTTCCGCCCTCAGCGCGCGCCGCCGCTTCCCGCCTTTTTGTTCTCCTCAGCGGCCGAGCGAGAGGCGGAGCGGACGGCGCGGCCGCGATGAGGCGCCGGTTCTGAACCATTACGCTCTCCTTTGAAGCCATGGAAAAAGGAAAACCGTTTAAACTCTTCGTGCCGCCGCGTTTGAGCGGCGGTCAGGTGTCTGCAGTCAAACCCCAGACCAGCGCTCGGGCCGCAGAGCCGTGCCAGGTAACCGAGGCGGAGCCGCCGAGCTGCCCGGCAGGAGCCATACCCACGCAAAGCCGGGAGAACACAAGCATGCTGAATGTGCTGAAATTGACGAAAGCTGGAGGGATGCCTGTGAACAATTTCGAGTTTAATTTCAAAGGCTTTTCCTTTTTTTTTTTTTTTTTTTTTCTTTTTTTTTAAATATTCTATTTCCCCCCAACAAAACCAGAAGGAAGCATCTCGGCCATCAGCTATGTATTTTAACTGTACAGCACTGATGGCAAATTAATGTATGTGTTTGGTGCCACTCATTGATTGCTGTGAGAGGTACACACAGATAGACAGCGTTACCCTCTGATTTAACGGCCCCACAATCAGCTGTGCAGTGAAAGTGATGCTGCAATGCAGTTATGTGAATTCTGTGCTCACACTTCCTAGTAAACATATCTAGATTCATGTATGGTGTCCTGACAGGAGATGAGCTGTACTGTTTAAAAGATGAATCGCTGCGACTTTCAAACCGCCTTGTAAAGTCAGTTTTTCATGCTGCAAACAACCTTAATCTGATCTGTTTTGGAAGTACTGCTGGGAATAAAGCAAAAATATATATTAAAAAAAATACATGGTGCATTTTATCCTTTACAATTATGAACAATAGCTATTAGAAACATCCACTTGTCTAGCCACAGTCTGTAAAGCACACAGAAGACCAGCTGTTGGAAAAGCTGCTGTGAAGTAAAGCAAGTAGGAGAGCTCCAAAGCCAGCACTCATCCTTTGGGCTTTCAGAATAGTCGACAGCTGCTCTATTAATGGGAAATGCCTTTTTTTTTTTTTTTATGTTAGCTGTATTTTTCAGAGTTTTATAATCCTTCTTTGCAAAGCTACCTGTAAGAAAGTAATATTTAAATTTTACAGGGTTTTAACAAATGTCCAGGTGATGATTTTAATTTACCTTTTGTAATGACAACTGCAGCAAGCCATGGTGAAATCACTGATGCAGGTAAGGTTAATGTAAGCATTTATTTTAATTAAAATATATATATATATATATATATATATACATATATATATACATACTGCATATTTTTGCTTTGTTTTATAATGTCATCATTGTAATACTGTTAGACCCACACTGCTCTTTTTGCTGTAGTTTGTTTTTCTGGAAATACATTGATCAAAATCTTTTCCCATTTCAGATTCAATTTCACAGCAAACAAAACTTTGCCCTGAGGTGGATGAAGAGGTCAGCCAAGTGTAAACTTTGCTTTTAAGTATAAACCTTACATATTTAATTTCTTAGGGCCTCCTAATTTAAAGCATTATTAAGTACATACTCTGGTTCTAGAGGATGTAGTGAGAGGGGAATCATTATTTTCTGTGACTCCTGTTTAAAGCTATGTCACTTAGAGAAGTTTTTCAAATTCAATGAACATACCTTCAGATAAATCTTCGGATATTAAGAGGATTTCCAAGTCAAAAGCAGTAGTGCCTGGGAAGTCTTAGAGTTTCAATTATAGTAAGACTGAAGGAGTCAAATATTTTTGTGAATCTGGTTCTGAATGGAAGGCACAAGGGTTGAAGCGAAGATTATCCTTTGGAAAATCAAGTCGATTATTCCAATTACCTTGTCTGGCTTTATCTGTAAAGCAACGTCTTTAGTGGAGTGGTTGCCTCAAGCATTTGATTCTATGTTCTTTTTACTAATGTTCTGCTATAGTATAACAGTAAAGCTATTTTTTTTTGTGGTAGCTTTCTGTGCTGCCTAGGAAGGAAATGCTGGTGGCAGCAAGAAAATAGAACTTATTTCTTGCAGTCCTTTTAGTAGTTTTCATATCCCTGAGGGCTGAACTTCCTTTAGCCCTAGCAGATATTAGATGTTCAGAATTGTAAAAATACTGCAATGCTGCCAAGAGCAGGACAGCATTAGATGACAATATACCCACCTACAGAACTTGTAACTACTCTTTACCTGCCTAAGCCTCTGATCAAGCATGGCCTGTACAGTGCTTTGAAGATGTTCTAAGAGCACAAGGCCCGTTGTGCTTTTGGTTACTTTGTATGTGAGATAGCTGCAGGAGTACATTGTGTGTCAAGGTCTGTGATTCTTAAGCTAGCAGGATCTGATCTTACAAGAGCAGGAATGTGCTATGAAGAGCCTAACAGAAGGAATCCTGGCTCTACTGATAATTCTAGCAAAATTTTATGCACTTTTGGTGATGTGCAGTTTATGATATCTTTAGAGCTATCCTCTTTATCAGCAATATCACTCTACCTGAAGGCAGAAAGATATTTTTCACTTGTGCTTGTGTCCCTTACATGTTCTGTGATGTCTGTTGATACTGACACAGGGGATACATGAATATCATTTCCTGCACTTATGATTTTGTGTCACCAACTGTGGAAAGAAAAAAACAACAACAACAAAAAACCTCTTGTTATGATATTTCTAAGAGATAAATGTGCATGTGAAACATTATTATTTAAATAACATTTGAGATTTAAATAGTGGAACTTGTTTTAATAGAATCTGGAAACAATGAATGAATTGTATTCAAAACTCTACAAAGAGGCTGAGAAGATCAAGCGATGGAAACTGGCTGTAGAATCAGAACTAAAGCAGAAGGAAAGAAAATTTCAAGAAAATAGAAAGATTATTGAAGCACAGCGTAAAGCCATTCAAGAATTGCAGGCCAGTATTGTACAACATGTGTTCAATATATAAATGAAAGAGAAAGCTCTTCCTGACTTAGTGTGAAAATATTGTTCATATGGTTAAAGATTGCTATAGAGGTTGAAGAAATAATTTTTAACAGTTTGTGATGATTTAAAGATGCCACTTGGTTTGGAATCAATAACTTATGGTTCTACTGTTTTGAAAGGAAATAGTTCGTTTTTTATTTCTCAAAATACTTCCTTTTCTTTAACAATGCACATTCTATTATTGGATTATTCAAACATGCAACATGCTGTGGGGCTGCAGAAGCCCATTCAAGGCTGAATAAGCTTTCATGCTTCTGGTCTGTGTCAACTACGCCAAGGCATATTTCTATGCTCAGCACACACAGGAAGCAGTTTTTTATCTAGTTGGTAGCAGTGCAGGGCTCTGTGACCAAAATACATATTTTGAACAGTTTATCAGCCCTTTTATTTCTTCTTCTTGTTTGTTTGCATTAGATTTGCTAAGCTAAGTCATCATTGATCATTTAACTTTTGCCTTGAGAAGATGGTTCTGCTGAGAAGGCATGCACACAGTGTGCAAATGTATGGCTGGATAGGATGCTTTTAAGTGCTTCAGTTCCTGGGGCATTATTGCTTAAATTATATAAAAGATGTAAGAAAAGATGTCTTGGTACGTAATGTCAGATAAAGCAGATTTCTGTCTTTGGGTGCAGATAAATAATTTTTTCATACCAGGTTTGAGAACTGAGAGTATATTTCAAGTATGTTTTCCAGTAACAATCTATTTTATATTTGTCTCCTGTGAAATTAGTTTGAAAATGAAAAGCTAAGTTTGAAGCTGGAAGATGAGATATGTGAAAATAAAGATCTTTTAAAAGAGTAAGTAATGGCCAAATATATTTTTGCAAAGAATGGATTTTCTTACTGAGAACTGCTTTAGTATGGAAAGTTAAATTCATCTTAAATTATAAAGTTAATTAAAGCATTCACATTGTTACACACAAGTGTACAAAGTACCATACATTCCTGTGACTGCATGTTATAGCATTATTTGTCTTCTTTTAGAAACAGTGCCTCAAGACACCTGTGTAACCTGCTCAAAGAAACCTGTAGTCACTTCACAGAGAAGTCCACCAAATGTAAATGCTGTTTAATCTTGATTTATAAAAGTAAATTTGCTTCTAACTTTCTCTAAACTCACGAATGAAAAAGCTCTTGTTAAGTTGTGAATAAAACTATATGAGGTTCAGTGGATCAGGGTAAAGTTCAGAAATAAGGCAAGAATTCGAATACACGTCTGTTTTGTAATGCTGAATTCAGGGGTGTTCTGAAGTCAGTATGAATGTTTGCCAAAATATTACGTGCCTGGGAGTTATTTAGTTACCTAAATCCTGATACAAGTTTAGGCACTGCAAGCAATACTGATTAACTGCTGGTAGCCAGTGGAAAGGAGTGCTGGTTTCCTGAAGCCTTGTCATGTTTGGCAGTCCCTTCCATATACCTTGAATATATTAACATATATTAGGTGGCACTTCTACTGCTTAAAAAGAGATACGAATTGATTTTATTTATCATTGCCATCTTAAAAAACTTTGGGAGTTGGTATGCTTCTGTTTGGAGCAGTTAGATATTCCTCACACTAAATTGGGCAGTCCAAGAAAGCTGCCTAACTTAATTAAATTCTCAAGGTTTTTAAAAATGTGGTTAACTTGTGATCTTAATTTATATGAAATTCAAAATCGTGGTGATAATCTTCAAAATTTGGTTGTCTTGTCCTGGATCCTTAAAAAGTGTTTAACTCTTAGTCTGACAAATACAAATAGCTGGGTATGCATTTGCTGTGCTCCTACGATAGCTGTGATTCTCACTGTTGTCTTCTATGTGTTTTCCTAAGGGAAAATAATACCAATTCAAAAACTGAAGTCGTTGTAAGGTGAAGTATTGTGACATTCTGTAATGGCAGTTCTGTGCTCACAGATATCTGCTGATGGAAAGTGCTAAACTTCATCTTGTACAAAGCTATAACTTTTGGCACACTATTTTATTATGTGCTTGTGTTGTTTTATTTTTTAAATAGGAAAAGAGCCTTTTAAAATTCCTTTCCTTTAATTCACTATGCTGCTTAAGCATAATGGCTTGAACAGCTGGCATTCTTTTCCAAAAGAAAAACTTTATCATACATTCTTATTTTGATAGATGAACATGAAAGAGAAGAAACAAGACAACTATATGAGGAACTTAATAACAACATTGAAGTAAGTGACATGGTGTGTTAAAAAGCTCAAATGTAATCCGAGTTAAATGCATGCACTGAAAATCTGGATTGCGTGTATATGTCACTTACAACATGAGACATCATTGTCAATGATACATTTCATATGTTAAACAGAGTCAGTGGGCACATGGAATAACAGTTATTAATTATCAGTCATTGTAGCTACTAAGAAAGGCACAACACCTTCTTCATTATCTTAGGAATCTAAAAACATGGACCAAGAAAGATATCTCATCCTTGAAATTATTTACATAAAACCTCTTAAACATCCAATTTCATAAAAAATAGCATCTGTTAATTCAAAGTATGTTTATGCTCAGACTTCAGATTTTTTTCTATATGTACATGAATAAGTGTGTAATAGTGGTGCTTTTTTTGTTTGTTTTAAACAAGCTGCAAACATTGCTCCTTATTACTGAAAGTACCTAGTTTTACACAAATGTATGTATCAAATTTTACTTTTAGAGAATGATAGTGGCATTTGAAGAGCTTCGTGTGCAAGCAGAGAACACCAGACTGGAAATGTGTTTCAAATGTGAGAGTTGTGCTTACTGTGTTTCTGCTGCAGCTTCACAGATCTTACTGCGTGCAGCTTCAGGCTGGATGCTAGAATGGTGAACTGTGAACATTAATACTGTTTTGAAACCATGTCCTAAACCACACTGCACGCTGGTAGAGTGACAAATGCCTTCTATCACTATTTACTTCAAAGGAAAAGACTTGGAAATAACCAGCTAAATTCAGTCACTTTGACAAGGGAACCTCTTGTCTCTTATTTCTTACCTGAGTCTTATTCCTGTAAAGTGAGTTTCAGTCTTCCTCATGGTACAGCCTACTACTTTCTCTTGTCAGACTTCATTACCACCTCAGCTTCTCTTAGTTTGGGATAAGCCTTTCAAATTTTCTAGGAAAGGTAAATTCACTGCAGGTTTCCTTTTAGACTCTTTTATACTTCTTGTATAAATTTTGCATCTGATGAATTGTTCCATCAATACAATTACTAAAGTACTGAAATTCTGGGCCCTGTCTTACTGATGCTGCCTGCTGTGTTTAGGCCCTTCACTGTTTTTTTCTACTAGGTCAGATTTGAAACCTTATTTTTGTAATAGTCACTGAAAGTTTTAGTTTTGTCTATGCAGTACAGTTGGAAATCACTACGTATTTTACATGGTTGGTTTATTTAAATGTTAATGCATTAGTATGCAGGTACAGGAATTTTAATCAAGTATTTGCTTTATCTACCACTAAGGGCCTGCCTCATTTTTACAAGCATATTTCTGCCATTTTTCCTATAACAATCTATTAACAAATACATGTAGTAATGGAGTAATTTTGTGGAAAGCTGACACAAAAGGTATTTTGTCTGATTAGAAAGGTATTTCTAAAATGTCCTCAACAATTCCTCTTTAGGAAACAAATTGTGCAGTTGTACAATTGTAAAGCAATCTTAAATAGAAATTGTATTTCTCTTGGAGTATGTTTTAGCTAGTATATTAAATACTGATATTTTGATATTTTTGATCAATAGTAAAAGAAGCAGAAGAAAAAATGGACAACGTTGAAAGAGAATGCAAGCTAGAAGTCGGTATGAAGGAAAAGCAGGTTTGCTCAGTTTTAAAATCTAATATGTACAGGTTTATTTTTGCCACAAATCTTGCAGTTTCATTAATATTTGATGTCTATCTGCTCTCATGAGTCACTGATATTACTGTTATTCTAAAAATGCTTGTTGTTTGCAAAATATTTGTAGTTTTGGAAGGGTGGAAATAATACTGCAAATTACATTCTGATAGCCTGTTCCTTTAGTTATTTGGAATAAAATTTGAATTTGGCTGCTGCATTGTAATGAGGGACATTTCTGCAACGGGATTTAGCAGTAACAGCAAAGCACCGAAGAAGATTGCCTGTAAAAGAAGCAGCTTATGCAGAAGTATAAAATTGAGCAGAAAGCAGGTATTGTTCATTGCTGGCAAGAAAGGTGAGAAGAATGACTACAGCCCATAGCAGGCCATGCATTAGTAGGAGAAGTTAGGAGCCTGAGACTGGAGTAGGCATTTGTAGTGATGGGACATCTGTAATGGAAGATGGAATTGAAAATTGAATTGTGATACAGTTTTAATTTGTAAGCAAGAGACTGAAAAGCAGGGCGTACAGGAAGGTCAAGCACTGCTGTTTTTTTTTTTTTCTGAGGATAGATGTGACACAGCAAAGATGCACAGAATGTTTTGGGGCATTCATTACTGAATGAATAAAAATGGAAAAATAACAGTTGGAGCTGTACGTCCTTCAGATTCTGCTACCTTTAGAGACATCCTGGTATCTTCAGTCTGTTGGAATTCATGTTCTGATGTTGAACTGAAGAGCTTTAAGACCCGACCAGTTTATTTAACTTGAATTACAGCAGTGTGTTTACTACTCATATGAGAATGGAAAGATGAAAATCTATCTTCTTTTTTTAGACCTGTGTTATTATTTTAATTTTGTTAGATTTCAGTTCTTACTGCAAGGTGTAATGAAAAAGATGATGTAATAAGAGACATCAAGACTCACCTGCAGGAATCAAAAAATAAGATTGCGGACTTAGAAGAAGCAAAAAGTAAGAATTATTTCTGCTGTATTAAAATATATTTGGTTATTGTATAACCAAGATGTTATAATGTATAACCAAGATGTTATAATTTGTATAACCAAGATGTTATAATTGCAATATAATCAAGAGAGTAAAGCAAAGCAGACAACGATCACAAAAGAGAATAAATGGAAGAGCTTACCCTTGGGTTGAGCTCACCAGAAGATACCAAAAGAGGGGATCTCCAGAAGAGATCCTTCCCCTCTGGTAGCCAGCTCTTAAATAGGTCCAGGAGGGGTGGAGCCTGGCTCCACCCCTTCCGGCAGCACAGGTGAATTGCCTTCACCTGTGCTCCTCTGGCTGACTCAAGGCTCACCTCAGGTGATTAATCAGAGGTTCAGGCCGTGACTCAGCAGTTCCCATACAGTTATAAAAGTATGGAAAACAGAAATGATGATGATTTCATCCTGGGGAAGTTAGCAGGAGAATTTGGGATCTTGCAGATCTTCTTTTCATTTAGAAACAATTAAGATCCTGCTGATGCGTGAACTGGACTTGTAGCATATTCTCCTTTTATATAAAATACAGGCCCTTATTTCATAACAAAGTTCTTCTCCTCAGTCTTAGACAACACCCTCTTCTTGTATTGACAAGAGAACTTCATTGTGCAGGACTTTTCTTCTCCTGCTTTTCCATATGCCCTTGCATGCACATGGTTATGCTGCTATAAAGGTGCCATATATTCTGTCTCTCCTTTTCCAGAACAGAAGTATGGACAGATACACCAGGGCATGATACTGGCCTGCCTGTGCTCTTGGGATTGTTCTGTTTCCATTGGTTTGAATAGTAAACATGTGGAAATAATAGTGCTTTCCTGCTTACCACATTAATCTATTTAAATTCAATCATCTAATATTTGTTCAGAAGTCTGTTAGTGTTCTCTATTCAACAAGACACATTTTCACATCTTGGACAAATAACTCCCCCAGGTGTTACAGCTTTTAAATGGGATCACATCTGCAAATAGGCAAAGGCCTGAGATCAGAAGTATGAATAATTTTTAAAGGTTCTTTTGTCTCAAGAATGATTCAAGCAATGAAAGCTTTTGTAGACTGCAAGGGGAAAATACTCCAGTTGTGCATGCTTAGAATCAGGTGTGGCTGGGAAAACTTAAGCCTTAGAACGTTCTTTTCAGTATTTCTAAAGCTATGACAAAATGTTTATACTATATGATACAAGCACCTTTGTTCTTTAGAACTGAGACAGTTTTTGGTATCCCCTTCCCTGGGTAGTGGAAAGGCAAGTTTACTGTCATTTTTATTCCAGATACGAGTGACTATACTTTCTTAAGTTTTATAAATGTTACCAATTTTACATTTTGGATACGATCGCTAATTAATTTGAATAACCATCTCATAATTTTTTCCTTAAAAGTGATATGAATACATCATGCAATTCGATTAAGTTGTAGGAATGCATTTATCTGCAGAACACAAATCAAAGCATTTTGAAGAAAACATTATTCTCCTAAATGTAATTTGTGTATTTTCTGCACAGGGCATGAAGGGGAAATGTTAAAGGAATCTCAGCTCAATCAAGAATATTTAAAGGCAGAACTGGAAGAAGCTAAAAATTCATTGCGAAAAACAGAGGTAGAGCTTGTTTGTAATTATATTTACATATTTTATATGTAATATTACCTATACCACAAAAATAGTTACTGATACTCTACACACAGAGCAATTGTAGCTGGTTGTTACATTATATGTTTGTAAATAATCAAATTGTTTTGTAGGCTACTCAAGAGAGCTTAGAAACTGAACTGCAAAGTACAGTGAAAGCATTAATTCAGGTCACTCAGGAGAAAGAAACACAGATGGAAGAATGTAAAGAAGCAAAGGCTCTGCATGCATCCATGTTAGAGGAGTTTGAGGCTTCTACTTACAATTTGAAAAGTTTGCTGCAAGAAGAGCAGAATAGGTAATTTAAGTTGTCTACAACCAAAGATTGTCCTTATAGTTAAAATAGCAGGTCACTGAGCTGCTGGGAATAAACCTAAGTGATGGTCTGGTGCTTTTTGTGATGGTTTTTTTTGTTGGTTTTTTTGTTTGTTTGTTTGTTTTTTGTTTTTTTCTTTTTGTGTGTGTGTGTTTTAAATGTATACACCTTTTGCCTAATCATTTGCATTATTAGCCCTTAAAGATGGTTATAAAATAGTTTGGTTTGGAAGAGACTTTAAAAATGATCTAGTTCCAACGGCCCTCAACCCTCCACTAGATCTCCCTGCGCTGCTTGGTTTTGTATGGATGCAGTTCTTGACTAACACAGCAGCCATCTCACTTGTAACGTAGAAGTTCTTTAATAATGAAACAGTAGTTTTGAAAGTTATGCATATGTTTAAAAAAAAAAAAAAAAAAAAAAACCCCTTAGCAACTAAAATGAACTTTTCTAAAAATGGGAATAGAACAGTAGATGTGTATTTTAATGTTATCACAACTGAGTTTTTCAATGAACAGTGAGTTTGTGTACCTGGCATTAAGGAATCTCCTAAGTAGTTGCAGGCTATGACAGACCTAAAGAATAAAGGGAGATGAAGGTGAAATTCATATTCTGACACATCACCCTAAGAGCAGAGAATGTAATATGATTTTTAAAATTACACTGACTAATATTGAGAAAATAAATCCTTGTCCTCCTGATTTTCATAAAGAGGTACAGATGTATCTGCCTGTCAAAAAGGCATCTATTTAAAACATTTGTAGTATGACAGTCTTATTGTCTCTAAGCGTCAAAGCAGTGCTGTATACTGAACAGAAAATGTTTGTAATTTTTAGATTGAAGAAATACGAAGATGAGTCAAAACTCCTTACGTTGGAGCTCACAAATAAGTCTGCTGAGCTTGGTAAGATTTGTAGAAAAAAAGAATGTAAGTAGTAATAACATTTTTTTTAATGCATAGTCACTCCTGGAAGTCATCTCGGTTTCTCACATTACTCCAGTTAAGACAAGTAGTGCTTCAAACCAGTTTCAGAGAGGTAGTGATGGGCTGCTGAACAATAGATTCCAAGAATAACTTCTGTAGTGCATAGCAGAGACAAAGCACCTGCCTTAGGCTTTCCTGCAGACTGCTTACCCCACACCTACAGTGGTTAACTTCAAATATTACTTTGATACCCTGTTGTAATGTGATGGAAAGCACAGCAATGACAGCAGAGCAGCAAGGCCCTGGTCTGCAGCAAGTGAGAGTTTGCTCACCTGCAACACCCATGGGCACAAAAATAAAGAAGCTGCTTACCTTCAGAAGGCTACAGGCAGGGATCTCAAGCAAGAGACACTCACCTGCTCTGCGAACCTTAAATGAGGTGTGGGAAGGAATGATTCTGGCTCCACCCCCTCCAGCCACTCAGGTGTGCTGCATGCAGCCGAGCTCCCTTGGCTCGGCCCTGCTTTCCACAAACTTCACTGCTTCAGGCCACGACTTTGCATTTCCACTGAACCTAATTTCTAGACAGGCACTCCTTAGCCCCCAAACCAAGACTGGTACAGCTTGCCCAGTGTGCAGCATGTATCCAACGACAGACAAGAAACATGGCTTAGTACATGTTTTGAGGGAATATACATTTGTTCAAAAATTGCTGACAAAGGCCTGTCTAGAACAAGGTGAGATGTGACCTGTGATAGTAACAGAGCAAAAAATTAGCTTGATGCACAGTACTTACAAATAAATAAGTGAATGTGCATGCGGAAAACACATTTCAGTTACTAATAAGTGGATTCTTTTTTCAGCATATCCAGATTTTTTTCTAGAAAATTACAAATACATCAATACACCAAGACTATTCCTTTGTATATATAATTACAGTCCACACTATCATATTTGAAACCATGGCTACAGAGAGCATAATAAGCTCTGAATTTTACTTCAAATCAATATGTAGCTTTTGTTCAGAAGTGCACTCACTAATAACTTTCTGAACATATATATGTAACTCTACATTCAGATTAAGTGATAGTTTAGGTTATTAAGCTTTTAGATTTCTGAACTTAATTCGAGAAGTTTTGATAACTGAGTACTGCAGTAGGATTAATTATTTCTATTGTCTGCTGTATAGCAAAATTCTGTAATTCTGACTATCTGTTCAATAACTTTGCATTGCACGTGCTGCAGAAGAGATGACTAAACTAAAACGCGAGAAAGAAATGCAACTTGAAGAGCTGTCTGAAACACTGGTAACTGTTGTTAATTTTATTAGTCTCATGGCATTTATCTTTGATGTGCAGTCTCTCTTGTCTCATGAGTACCTTATATGACATATAAGCACTGTCTAATGTTCCTTAAGGTTGCTTTCTTATCTGTCTTTCAGACTATTATGCCGTTTTCTTTCTACTATTTTATGTGGTTTATTTCTTCTAGTCAAGATTTCTGGCAATTTCTTCCTTCATTCATGCCTATTCAAGTACTGTTCTCCACAGACATGAAGATTCCCTATCTTTAGTACTCTCTACTTCCTCACCACCAACCTTTCTGAAAAATACTTTGTGTGTGTGTGTGATGAGCATTAGCTCATTCATTGTGAACACCAAACATATAATATTTAAGCCTGAAGGATCAACTAGTTTTCAACAGTAAATATAATTCCTTGAGTGGCTGGCTTTCTTCATAGTAATCCTTTAGAAATTAAGCCTTGTAAAGGCTGACCTTACTTTAGTATTGAAAGGATAACCAAGCTTCTGACACCACCCAGGAAAGGCAATAAGAATTAATGAAAAGCTTTTGTGTAACAAAACGATGGATTCAATAAGCAATTTCATAGATTGTATGGGTTTCTTTCTTCACACGTCTATTGCAATTATTCTACTGTCTCAGAGGCATTAAGTATGAAGATGTTTCCTCCATGCTTCAGTGTTCTGTATCTAGGAAGCACTGCTTATTATGTTGATAGCTGTTCCTTTCCAGAGAAAACATACAGGAGTCTGAGCCTGCTGGAAGGTCTCATGGCTGTAACACCATGTATTCCCATGGTGTTCTCTTCTCCTTATAGGGAAGTTTCCTGAGGTTCATGTTCTGTTATGAAAAGTTATATGAAGTATACTTTTAAGACAGGTTTATGTTAGTTACAAGCTGTATTTACTAGTCCCAGAGGAAACTATCTCAGTTAAAGCAAGAAAATGGGAAACTAGGTTTGCATGTTACCAAATGTGATTTACCACGTGTTCCTTAGGCACTGCTATGCATTGGATTTTCTAAACTGAGTTTCATCAATGTTCTTAAACAGGGAAAAGCTGAAGAAGTTCTAGCAAAGAAGAAAGATCTTGAGGCTACTGTTGAAAATTTGCAAGAGACAGGAAAAGAGATGAAAAATATTCTTCAAGTCAGAGAGGTCTGAATAAAGGGTGATAGTAAATACGACATTGTTTTATACGTATATATGTAACATAATAAATGCCAGGTAGAGTTAGGCCAGTGGTCTGTAGCATTCTGCTTCTGACAGTGACAGCCAAAGCTATAGGTAGCAGAGGAGCCTGGTTATCAGCTATGGTTCATCCTCCATACATTCCTACAGTAACTGTATTCAAAGGATATTTGAGGACACATCCCTGTCAGTTCCCTTTGCTATCAATTTATAGACTTACACATGTTCACTTGTCTCATCTGGTTTGTCTCTGTGCTCCTGCTATTAGTCTCTACAGCCTGCTGTGCTAAGAAATTCCAGAAGTTCATTATATGCTATGCTTAACTAAATACACACTGACATACATTCTTTCTCTCTCTTTGCTTAAATTAACTGCATACCAGTACCTATGGTTTCACTGTATCACTATTTATTCAGAAGAATTAGTGTTCAAAACATTTATGTACTATAAAATTATATACTTTGTATCTAAGTTATAATTGCCTCCTCCTGTAATAACATCACATTTCTGAGGGAAGGGTTTTACTTTGTAGTCCAGAATGCATCCAAAATATAATGGTAAAATTTTTTTAATATATGGAGAATTCAAAAGCCTACGATGTCAGAGGAAATACTGACTTTATTTAAATGCCCATGGAAAGGTAATTTTGTCAGCACTTTTGCAGACTACTTAGGCTATAAAATAGAGGACACGTTTTCATTCATGTCAGAGTTTCATGTACCACAGTACTTCCACATTACATCAGATCGATGTGAAGATAAAGTCTGTGTTGTTTATGGCTTTGTTTCATCCTAAAGCTTTGTGTTATCAGCTCAATTCTGACAGCTTCCTTGCACTGTGGTTTACCTATGTACATTCAAAATACTGTTTTTCTTCTACAGAAAGAATTGCATGATCTGACAGTACAGCTGACTTGTTCAGTTGAAAAGGAACAAAAATATTTGAAACAACTCACATCACTGAATGCAGATCTCGAACGAGAGGCGTATGATCATTTTTATTTAATCAATTTCAGTGTCCCATAGAAGTCACTTTAATACAGAACCAAATTATGTGATTCTTTTCTTATGAAAGCTTTTAACTTCTGCAGATAGCATTACATCCCTTATGTAATTATAACGTACATTTTACGTATTTGTGTGCATCTAATTGTACCATATCTCTGTGTCTTCGTTGTTTGAACATGACTTGAGCGTTTCTGAAATCACCGTTAACTGCTTTGAGATGGATGTTAAACTACATTCTTGTCAACCATTCTATTTATGCTATTGACTTATCTCCATTTGTCCTCCTGTTGCCTTTTCATGGTACTATGGCTCTATTTTACATTTGTTGCAAAGATTGCATTTGCAGATTCAGGCCTGGACTTTTTCAGTGTGAAGTAACATTTTAGAACAGATAAATCTAATGTTAAAAGAAATTTCAAAGTATACATTCTTATTTCTCTTGACCGTTTATCCTAAATTAGACTAAAGAATGAGCAACTAACAGTGAATATCAATACGCTGTTATTAGAGAAAGAACAGATGGCACAAGAGAAAAGTAATATGGCTACAGAACTCAAGAAACTGCAGGAAAGTCATGAGGTGAGCTGTAATCTTCCATCTGTTTTCAAAGCACAGGATTATATTAAAAAAAAATCATTTAGCAAACTACAATGATATACTTCTGTAGAGTATCTGAATTGCTTTTTTCTTTAAAACACAACATAAGTGCAGTTACCCTTGTGAATTGGCAGCTCACTGTACTGACTAAGATGTCACTTCACATTTTACTTATTTTGTTCACATGGGTATTTATTTAGGATCAAAGGGAAAAAGAAGAAAACATAAAGCAGTTAGTAGAACACCTGGAAGAAGCAAATGGTCAGCTGAGGCAAGTAAATCTCAGTGTACAGTATAATTAAAGGAAGTAGTTTGTTTCCTCCATGGTTCACCTGAATGTTGTGTTCATATGCTGCTTTCTATTATACATAGATGTCTCTTATATGGAAATAAATCATGGATAAATAGTAAATAAGCTGTATTGAAAAAATAATATCCTTAAATATACATTTACTAATATTTGTTAATTTGGCATTTAGAAATGAACTGGAGTCTTTGAGAGAGAAGATGGCAAAGAAAGGTGAAGAAGTTAAAAGCAAACTGGATGAAAGTGAAGAAAATGTAATATGGTTTCTCATCTGAAATATAGCATCACCTGTAGGATGTAATCTAGATGGTTGTTTTTTCCTTTTCTGCAAAGCCCTACCTAGGGATGTTCTCTCTTAAAGAGGTTTTATTCTTTCAGTGCTGCTACCAATTGAGTCGACACATGTATGTACCCTGACACTTTAAAAGACAAGCACCTTCACTGGAATGTCCAGATTTGCCATATTTTAGGCAAATGTAGAGCCTCATTTTATTTATTATTTTCATACACTCAGTAAGTAATACAAGCTTCATGTGTTTAAGTGTTTTTGCTTTCCTACTCCATTGTCAAAGCACACCTGCTTTTTTTTAACATCACAATGGATTTCAAAATTTTATCATAAGATTCAAAAAATGTATTCAGGACATGGGATGGTTTCTTAGTTTTTTGTTTGTTTGTTTACAAATAAATACAAAACAGAATCAGCTGAATTCTTTTTGAGGAAACTGCTTTGACATTGTAACACTATTTATTAACGATTCTGCAATTACATATTTTTCTTCTTTAAGAAAGTATAAAAGTTGTCACAATGGTCTGACTAGATTTACAAATATAATTCCAGACTAAGAGTATTGAAAATGAAATTCTGAAAAAGGAAAGACAGTTGAAGATGCTAGAAAATAAGGTTAGTAAATTAATTTTTCTCATGAGGACCTGATTGGCTGATGTTAAACTATGTGATATTGGGCTGGAAAAATTCTTGTTGCACTTCATGGTAAAAGCTCCAACCATTATAACATGTTGGCATTTGTTTCAGTCTCACTGGAATCACATCTTTTCAAATGCACCTTTTAGAACTTTCACAGTAGTGTCTAAGACATGGAGTCATTTTTAACAATGAATTAACATTTGAAATATCCCTTCAGTTGAACACCATGAAGAAACAGGTGGAAAACAAAACAAAGTGCATTGAAGAGTTACAGCAGGAGGTAAGTACATTTTCAGAAGTATTGAATACAGAAAACATGGCATTCTGAGGTTGCTCTTCAGCTGTCCTCCTCTGGTGTGATTTCTTCAGGCACACTTATGTAATTCATAACATTTCCTTTCTTATCTTACCTCTGAGAGAACTGAAGGATCACCTTTGGAATCACTTGATTTGTAAAATCATTCTGACTTTTGTAAAATGCAATTACAGTAATAAGAAATTTAATAAACTTTTCTTATTTTCATTTAGCATGTGGCATTGTTGATCTATGACACCATACTTGTATATACATCTCATTAGAAAAGAATCATACATTTGGACAAATTGTCAGCAACTGTACTGTAAAAATATACAAGTTTGTATTTCTTTTTATGACATCTGCACATTTTTCTGTCAGCAGCATTTTCCCAGAGTAAAATTCTCAAACCACTTGCTGAGAATCAACAGATCACAACATCTGTTGTTTCTTAATAGCATAACACAGGAGTACATTTATTTATATATAAGCTACATTGAACAAAAGCTAGAAACACTGTGTGTCTTAGTTTTTGTTCCTTATTCTACACCCTCATTCCTTAAAATCTGATTGTTAAAGTAGTTTAACACTTTCATTTCGAGATTTGTTCCAGAATCTGAAGTGGAGAACAAGAAGAGAGTTATTTGCTTGCTGAAAGCTGGAATTTGGGGATTCAGACGTACTGTATGAGGCTAAAACACTTCATAGCCCTATTCACTTTTATTGTTATTATTTCACTTTAACAGAATAAGGTACTGAAAAAGAAAATGACTGCAGAAAGCAAGAAAACAAGTAGTTATGAAGGGAAGGTAGGTTTAATTTGTGTCATATATATGGTGCTGTTAAAACACAAAAACTGAAGTCCTGAAGTCTCTAATGTTGATAAAACACATTAAGCACATTCTTCTATGTTTTATGGATTGATGATATGGATTCCACAGGACTAAATAAGCCCACGATTTTTGGAAGTCATCGGATATAGGGCTGTCAGGTATTTGCAGGAAACATCACTTATCAAGGAATGATGATCCTAATAAGCGCCTTTCCTTTTCATTTTATTGATAGAATACTGAACGTTACTCAGTAATGCCACCGACTGGGCAACCTGACCTAGGGGTGACAACCAGCCCACAGATGGGGTTGGAACGGGACGAGCTGCAAGGTCCCCTCCGACTCCAGCTGCTCTAGGATTCTATGCCTGTACAGCTGATTATGCTTCATTTTCTTACCCAGCCTTCCACACCAGCAATATTAAAGGGTCTCCTGTTAAAAGGCAGGACAGTGTCAGATTGCTGCTGGGGTTCCTCTATACTGTAATGATTCTTTGTGCTTTGCTGGATCTAGTTTTAGGACTGCTCTGATGACTGGGATGGAAGAACTGCAGTCTTCCCTGTTGTGTTTCTACAAGTATTTTCTAACTCTCTTCAGGCCAAAGTTCAACTCCTTAAGATGAAAACTGAAAATTAAATAGGAAGTAATACAGCCACATACCTGAAAAGTACAGAGTGGCTCTACTTAAATAAAATGGAAAAAGACCAAAGCATTGGCATATTAATTCTTGAACAAATAACAATACTTCTGTACTCTCTAAAGGTGAACAAGCTACAGTTAGAGATGGAAAATATGAACAAGCAACATAAAGCAAGAGTTGACATTTATGAAAAGGAAATTGAAGCAAAAGGAGTAACTGAAAATAACTTACTTGAAGAGGTGAGAGTTGTTAATTTTTTCTGCATCTTTTAATTAGCATTTGAAGTAAGATCAGTGCTTGATATATTTTATGAAGCTATATCCATGAGATTCCTTGCACTTACATAATAGTCTTGTAAACATAAACTGAATTTCTTGTGTATGCCAGTGAACAAAGCTTTAGAACACTAAATCCTTTAATCTGGACTGTTTACATGTCTTTAAAAATAAGAACCCAGTTAAAAAAATATTTTTGTCAAGCTGTTGTTCACAGATGCCCTATTCTTGGAATAAGTACAGAATAAGCAAATAGGTTAATAATGTTTCTCATTTGAGTGTTTTCCTGGCCACATTTTTTTTTTTTGTTTGGAATCAAAATATTAATTGGAATATAAAAGAAATGTTACACAAGTGTTTGAAATTGCACCGTGGCTCAAAATCACACTCGTCTGCCATGGAAGAATGGATGTATTTTTAAGCTATATTTTTTCATTTCAACAAATGTGTAGAAGATGCAGGATTAGAAAAGGATCTTCCAAGCAGATGAAGATTTCACTAAAGGGGACTGTATACAGATTGCATTAATTAAAAGATCCTTGTTACTAACAGGTAGAAAAAATGAGGTTACTTGCTGATGAAGCAACAATAGCACAGAGAGAAGCTGATCTCCGATGTCAACACAAGATAACTGAAATGATGGCACTTATGGAAAAGCACAAGGTGAGCTTTCTACTATGGGACATTATGATAAAGAAAAACCTTTCAAATCCAGAATTTACAAGTTAGAAAGTAAAACTTCGTCAGAGACCCAAGTGTGGAAGCACGAGGTTTAACACTCTTGATTTTTCATCTTCTAAAAACAAATTCACCTTCAGATTTTGAAAACATGTCTACTGCCACAGAAACTGCATTGGTGTAAGCTGCAGAGAATCTTAACACAATGTGAGCTATTGGCACATTTGAACTCCCAGTAATAATGAGATGTGATGGTGGTAATGGTTTCTTTAAAAAGTCCTGTAACTACAGTTTGTGCTTTGTAGTCCTAATGTAATATTTGTCAATATTTTCAGTGTTTTTCAATTTTTTCTTTCAATCAGGAGACTCTTTAGTGATCTTCAGCATTATAACATAGCATATTTCAATGGACATTTTTATTACTCTGTTTTGCAGTACATTCAGCAGATCACAGTAACAAAAATAACGCGTCCAGCTTTATGTACTGGAGCACGCAGCACTGTGCAGAGATAAAGCACTCTGTGTTGCCCCACAGAATAACACACAGCACTGCTTGTGAAGTTTCTGTTGTACTATTTCTGCAGAGGCGTCACTGTTTGTTCACAGTGCTTTCTGAAGCTCCAGAACAGATTTATTTAAAAAATTGAATAATATTTTAAGATTAGATTGATCTAGAACACTTAGTCCAATAACTAATGTCCTTTTTTTTGTTGTTGTTTGCTTGGTTTAATACAGCGTGAATATGATAAAATGGTTGAAGAAAAAGATACAGAGTTAAAACTATATAAGATAAAAGAGCAAGAGCAGGCATCATTGAAAAGAGCTTTGGTAAGGAGTGCTCATCAGTGCTGGAGAATGAAATGGAAGGGCTGCTTTTCTAAAACATCCAACCTTCTGGCTTGCCTGGGCCACACTGAGAAAAGAGGGGTTGTTTTCGCCCAACATAATGCATCTTAATTACAGTATCTGTGTGCTTTTCTGTCTACTTTACTCAAAAGTGCTTCATGTTTTAACCTCACTGTCTGCTTATGAAATTTCAGTATTAAATAGTTTTTCGGTTTTTTTCCCTTCTCACAAATATTCAAAATTCTTTCCTTGGATGGTTCTGAACAGTAACTGTTTCACAATACTTGATCACTTTTTAAAACAAGCTTAAACAACATTTCAAGTCTACAGTTGCATAACTTTTTTTTCCTCCTTTTCCTTTCTGGAACACTTAGCTTTGAGAAATATTCTGAGAGCAAGCATTCCCTCAAGACTTCTATAAAAGTGTGGTTCTATAACAGCTACTTAAACTGTAGTCTTTTTTCTGACATTTCCTTTCATACAATATTTCTTTACTTTTATAGAAACTGTGACTCAAGTAACACATTTTTTTTAGATCTTTTTAATTTATTCTTAGATGAGGAAAAGTTGGCTCTATCTGTGTTCATCTGTTATTCTAGCACTAGAATCAACTCCCAAAGTGAGATAGACACCTTTCACCATACCAACTTTATGGATAAACTACTCTATTTGAGCAAATTGAATTTTCTTTGTTTATACTGAATATCACTATGAATTAATGTCTCTTTCAGACTGTTTTCTTTTTTCCAGGTTAAGCACACCTAACCCTTTCCATTATCTAATTGGTTTCAGGAAACTGAACTATCATGTTTGAAAAGTGAGCTGTCATCCCTTAAGGAACAGCTTAAGGCAGAAATTGAAAACAAGGTATTGCATTTTGGGTTGTTTTTGTTTTTTTTTTTTGTTTTTTTTTTTTTATATAGCACCATGGGTGATGTGCTTGGCCCAGTCATATCTGCTGCAGCAATGACAGCTGAAATGAGTTTTTGATTCTAGGTCTTGCAGTCTTGAAATCAGAGCTTAATGCTCTCTGAAGTCACCACGCGTTCTGGTGGTGAAAGTTTTTCATGATTCCCGAGTCCGAGTGAGGGGAGCATGGAGGGAGTAAAACCCCAAGAACTGTCCATCAGAAATGGGAAAAGTTGTATAAGAAATAATACCAGGAACAGAAAAGTCATATTTTTCAAATGCAGTTGAACTAAACCTGGATCACATATTTGTGTGAACTTCTGTAAAACACCAACAAGATTTTTAATGGCTAAACAAATCTAATAGCTAAATACAAATAAAATATTTACTGCCTCTCTTGTTAGGAGAATCTTGCAAAAGACCTCTCCAAAAATAGAGCTCCTGAAACTGAAAAGAAGGACAAGGTAGTTGTAGCTTCATCATTAAACAATTTTAAAGTTTGGTAATATGCATATAAGCAATCTAATTGAAGTTAGATAATATAAAGTTAAATAAGATAAATAACACACTCTGGACAAAAGGCACTGAAATGTTTTTCAACCGTTTCTTAATTCTAGAAAATACAAACTCATTTTTCTGAGACTCCTAAACCTCATTCAGATCCGGACTCTGCATCTATTAATGTAAAAAAACTATTCTCTCAGAGTGATATTCCCATAAAAACCAGCGTGATGGAAAGTACAAAAACATCTCCTCGAGCATTTCTACAGAGTCCTTTGGTCAGACGATCCTTGAAGGTTTGTAACTCACACCGATGAATCATTCTTATTTCTGACTCTATTTTTTCCTTCTGCTTAACATCCAGTGAAAGAGCCACTGAAGTAAAATCAGTCTGGCTCTTGCTGCCACTCACTATCAGTATCTTTCTGAAAGCTTTCTCCTTCAGACTTGTTGGTTTGCGTTTTCATGAACGTTGGTTACAGTCTGTCTATAGTGACTACAGTTCAAACTGACAACTGAATTTCTGCAGATAAGCTTAAAAAGATTAGATACAGTGTGCCATTAAGCTCAGTTCTTCTGCAGCTGCTGCTTTTTTTTTTTCTCTCTGTTTTTTTTTTTCCCTGTGCATGACTTTGTTTCAAGTTTTGAATGGAAAGGCAATCATTCCTTGATACGTATCTGTAAACTGGGTTATGAGTTTAGTGTTGGATTCCATCATTACCACTGAAAATGTAATTTTAAATACTATCTTTTTCCCAGACATATACTGTAAAGACTCCCCCAGTACATAAAATGCAAAGTGAAAGCTCAGGTCTGATTTCAGAACAGAGGAAAAAGCAAAAAGTGCTTCTACAGCTGGATGCTCAGTCAGATAGCTCTGAACACAGCGACCTTCTGGTAAAACTCAGAACAAATAGCATGGTTAACTTCATGCCTACTGCTGTATCTGAGGATGTAAAATAAGGCATTTGGGCTTCTCTACATAAGATAATTTATGAGGATATTTTTATTTAATTATCTCTTTCTGGAATTTTATGAATAATTAGTAACTTTATGACAAAAAATACCAATGTTATAATGAATCTTTACATTGTTTTTATGGAATTGTTGAGGTTTCATAGTGATATCTTAACTTTCTTTTTCATACTCATTCCTAAGGGGAAAGAAAAGAGATTTTTGAATGTGGTATAAGGAAGTAACCTTTCTGTTTTTAATTTAAGAGCCTTGTTTCAGATGAAGAAGTATTTAAAAAATTATACAAAGATTATCCACAAGCTTCACAATTATATGCAATGACACCAAAACAGGTACGTTCCCTGTTATATAGATCAAAATGAAGAGCAGATCATCTTTGTTTTAGAAACTATTGGATGGCTTTGTTCTTTTTCTCAGAAACCAACTGCATCAAACCTGAAAGCTCCGAGCTCTGCACTGAAGCTTGCAACTATGAGAAAAGTGAGAGAGACTGGATGGACTGCAGTTTCCAAAATGGACAGGAAGAGAAAAATTAAAGATTCTGAAAAACTCTTCTCTTAAAAAAAAAAAAAAAAAAAAAAAGAGCAGTGCCCTAACATTATTTGATTAGGACAACTCAGTATTCTCTGAGCATTAGTGCTTTGTTGCATTTTTCTGCTATATTCAATATGTTTAATACATGAATTTCCTTGATTCAGACAGTCCTTATATAACTACAGTCTGCAGAGCATTTTCAGTGTTTTATTCATGTTATAGAAAGTCTGGAGACATTTTAATATTGAAATGAGAATAGTTCAAAGAAAACTGTTGCAAAATTACTAGAAATGCTGGCTTTAAAGAAATTCAGTCTTGTTCTTCTAAATTTACTCTCTTTCTTAATACACAATTCACAAAGCTATATTATTTAGTAAATGAAACGCTGAAGCTGCTAATGTGCAGCATTTTTACCCAAAGTTGTCTTACATTTTCTTCTTGTTGAGTGTTTTGTTGCCAGTAGCTACTTCCTCCTATGTTAGAATAGTTTTGAAATTTCCATAATTCTGTTTTCAATAGAATTATGAAGGTTTAAGATCTCTGTGTCATTAGGAACAAAATACATACACACAGTTTAAGACTGTAACCGGTGTTAAGATGTCATTAAATTGTTGACCTTGAAATGTGGGACCGTATGTTGATCCTTCATTTATCAGGGCACAGATACAAATCACAGGGCAGCTTTCCTAAGAACTAACAGCTTCTGCTAGGTAAGCACAGAATTACATCTATTTCTCCATGAATCCCTAATTAATCTTGGTTTCACAACTATTAAGAACAACAACAACAAAAAAAAAACAACGTGCTTCAGAGCCTACGAATAACAAGACATCTTAAAAATATTAACAGAAATTCCTGGATTGGGCAGCAAAACTTGTATTTCATTCTTTCTGTGCAGCTGAAAGTGCAGAGAGCACAAAAGAGGAGGCAGAAAATCCAAGCAAATCTTACAGAACTTGCAGTTTCAAGACTCGCTCTGTTTGACAACTGAACTTCTACACCAAAAGCAGCAAAGAAAATTCCTAAAGATATTAAAGGACTCTAACAACAACAACAGTGCAAATCACAGTATTAATGGTCATCCCTGACTTCCTAGAGCCTTTTCTGTTCCTATCTATCAAAGTATTTGATTTCATTAAGAGGAGAGAGAAACATAAACCTGTGCTCACACTGAGCAGATAAAACATTTTTATCCGAAAAAAGAAGTGTTCCTGCATAGCATCAAGTCTCCATACAAAGATTCGGATTCCCCACTGCTGCCTCTTGGATTGCCAGTCAGATCAGAACTGCACCACAACCACGAGAAACTGACAGCTGTCTGGGTTGTTTTTTAGTTTTGTCCTGCATGCAGACATTGTTTATCTCAGAATAACAGGAACTGACATATCTGGTGCTCCCCAGTGAAACATAACCAGTCTATCACACAAACCACAACAACTAACAGGACTATGAAGCATTTTAAGACTGTAAGAGGAAATTGTTGTTGTACCACATGCAAAGAAAAGAGGTGCCCTTTTAATCTGTGCTTGACAGGAAATGCTGCAGCTAATCCTAGGAGAGAAAGAAAAGAACGGTCATCTGTGAATCTACTAATTTAAAAGATAAGAGCTACATTTCCAGCGAGCACAGAGAGACTGGCAATAGACAGATGAGCTCTGAAAATTCAACAGCCACATGTTTAAATGCAAAACCTGATGGAAAAAAAACAATGGCAGCATATTAAGGGGGCCTGCAATAGGATGGGGTTGGAAAGAGTTCCTCTACCAGAATACTAATCTGTTAGAAATCTAATAGGTTTTGTCTGCTTCTGTTTATTTGCAGTTAGCATAGCTTCTGAGTTTGCTGCCTGGAAGGATGGACGTGTTTCAGTTTTAATGTCCACAGTACTGTATGCCTGCCTGCCGTGGAATTAAGACTGGCTCATTCTGCTCTATACTGTAACCACCCATGTGTTGTACTACTGACAGGACCAGGAATGATTTATGGTAACTGATCTACACTGTTCTTACTTTGACTTTAGGCACTGGTCAGTGACAGAGAATCCTGTTACGTTTTTACACACCCTGCGCTGAGCTTCTCTGGCTCATTGCAGACATCCCGAGGACACAGACCCAAGAACTTTGTGCTCCTTAATTCCATTTACAGAGACCACTTCCAACACCTCTTACAGAAATCAGCATACTGGCTTTCACTTAATGAAAGTGTAAAATAAGGGATGTGACTGAATAGAATGGTTTAGTTAAGAGAAAGGTTAAAGATAAATAATTTAAAGCATAAGTGGCTGTTCCAGAAAACAGCTACAAAGCTGATGGCTGTTGAACTTTGCATCTCTGAATTGTCTGCAGGTCAGCAAGGGGGCAACCAAAGAAATGGATCCATAAGCATCAGATACTGAACTATGAATTTTAGCAACCTACAGGAAAGCAGCTTTGCGCACTCACAGGTTGTCACACAGTACTGCGTTGTGCTGCCACATTGTCCTGCTGTTCCCAGAAAGTTCTGGGTTCTCACCCCCAGCAAACGTTTAGAGAGGTCAGCGGTGAAAGAAAGAAGCCTGGTCACATCAGGACAACCTGGGAAAAGTTCTTCTACCAGCTTAACAGTTTGTGTAAATTACTGAAGAAACAGGAACACAACTGCAGTGATACCCAGTACCTTCTGACGTGTGGGCAGGGCAAGGGATGCCTCACAACAGGCACAAGGAAAGAGGCTCTCTGTGCCCATATTACATGATGCTAACGTGAGTACAAGGAGCAGAAGTCTCATTGGTCTGAAGGTCGACTCAGACCAATCTACTGCACTTCCAAAAGGAATTTCCATTCTTAATACTTGGCCAGATATCTCTGTAAGGCATGGGTGAGAAAAGCCAAGGCTCCTGAGCTCTATGGAGATTATGATGCA